TTCGACAAAACTTCTATAAACTAAATAAACTTCATGTTTACGGCGGGACTCGAACTCGGGGTCTCTGTGGTGTAATCCACACGCCTTACCGATTACACCAACTCGTGTTGACAATCCATGACGAAATTTACAATCTCTAGGCAACGTTTGACAACCATCCATTGACGTCATGATGTCAAAGAGTTTGAACCACTTTTCCGTCACAATATTATTTGAGGAGTAGAAAAAACTATACTACTGCCTCACACGAGTCACAAGAACGACGTGAAACTACGCTTGCTTTGCGCGTCGCTGTATGGGTATGATTGTCGAAGATCCAATGCTTCCCCCATCCCGTTCCTTCTGCAGCTTCGGGACGAAACCGAAACGTGACCGATGCCATTAGAATTAACTACACTTCCATTAAATATTAACATGAGGGCAAAAGGTTAAATATAAAAGTGGTACGTTAATGAAGTGATCAACTAACTACTCTACGCAGAATTTTTAGATGTTAAAACTGTCTAAAAATCTCCTCGAAAATGGAAGAACTTATTTTCGAAAAAAAAAATATATACTAAAAACCATTGTCTTCTGACTGCACGGTTGGCGCAGTGGCTGGGTCGCGATTCCCGCACGGAACAACTGGGTCTCGGTGGTTTGTGTAGTACGTGAATTTGTATGTTTGTAAACGCACCCACGACCATAGGAGAAAAATCCAAGTGTGTTGTAACGTTATTTGAAAAAACTGGATACGGAGCCAATCAATGATCTGATTAGGTTGAGAATACGTGGATATGACCTAGTTAAAAAACAACAAGCAAAGACTGCAATCGCTGTACTCACTGTATCTTTATTTTCTTACTTGCATATCTACCTATGTATAATTGAGCTGACTGCATACAAATGGAAATGGCAATACGCCACAACTAGTGCCATGCGTATAAATAATAGTCCAATTGTATAAATAATAATAATCTTCGACACTATTTTTGTCGAACAACAAAACCGCACTTTTCGTGCCCAAGGAGGCAGAGATTCCTAAGGTACGGGACCCATACAGAAACACGTGTGATTTAAATTATCTTTACTAGTATCTTAATTTCAACAAGCAATTAAATACGCTGACTTTAAATTAAATGTGTTGAGAGTATTTATATGGTAATTGTAATCATTATGGCTATTAGATATTATACTAGTATAGTACACAATTAATTTAATAACTTTATGTGAGATTCTTGCTAATGGTTTTGGGTTCCATACTCAAAAAAACTTGTTTATTTTTAAATTGTTCAGTATATTTTTCAAATAATTATTAAATTGTAATAAAAGCCTTGAAGGCCGAGCCGAGGCTCCGAGCACCGTATGCGCAGGCTGCGAACGGTGAGCAAGGATAGCTCGCTGCTCGACCAGAACCTAACACGCGAAGCATAGGGTTTTGCGCTCACCTCAGAGAACCAATAGACCAAAACAGATAGGGTCCAATAGGGTTTAGCCGAGGTTTTAGGTCAACCACAATAATGTCCCGTCGCCCCCGCCAGAGACAGAAGGAACGGTACATTCGTTATCGCCCCACCTAGAGCGAGAAAATTCATTGGACGATTTTCCCCGTCAAAAAATGGCTTGAATTTTGATATTGACTTTCTTTTAAAATTGAGATGTTATTTATATAGATTAGTGTAATTTTATAATACCCAAAATTCTTTCATGGTTCCTTAAATCAGTCTTTAGCAATTGTTTTCTGCTCAAAGTTGGAGTACGACAATAAAATAAATAAAGAAAAGAGTTATCCAGTTTTTCTTTTTTGGGGATCAAATTAAATTCGTTATTTATTTTTAGCTTTATATTACATTCAACAAGGAAATAACTGAATGTTACTTCAATAAATAAACATGAATTCCTTTAGTCTTTTGACTGATTTTATTGTTACGCAAAATATATTAGAATAAATGCCAGTAATCATATTTTATTTAGATTTATTCTATAAATTCAACAAGCTTAAGTCTTTAATTGTGTAGATACTAGGAAAAGAAAAACTGGTTTTAATTATTTTTCTTTTTTAACTAGAACTTTGTTTTCTAAAATAAAGATTAGATGGAGATGTCTAATTTTTTATTGTATGTAATCTCAGAAGGACGATTATATTGTCTGAAAATATCACGAATTTCAGGAAATGTAACTTTAACAGGTCCACTTCTACATAGCGGTTGTTAATTAACGTTTTTTTCGATAAACCCTTTACTATTAACAAATCGTTATGTCAAAACATTTTGGCTTTTCATATTTTACTTAAGTAACAATATGTATATATTATATTATCTTACATCTTCGCTTGTACTACAAGAAAATAATGTGGTAGGTATTTTCTTTCCTTAAATAACTTTTCAATCTTCAAGTGAATTAAAAGCTTGTTTACATATTACTTATTACTCCTATAAAAATGTTTATTAAACTAACTGAAACAAACACTAAATTATTGGGATTATTCTTATATATTTTGATGTAAAACTTGAGCAGTGCAACAATAAAATAATTAATGTGTTATTAAGATTTTCTATAATACCTATTTATAAGTTGTTGACCTTCTGAGAACACCTCAAATAATTACAAAATTTTTATCTTTTATTTTTCAAAAAACATGAAATACACAATTTCAGTGCTTAGTTCAAAAACGAATTACTGAATAAATTAACCGACCATTGTATTAAAATTAATCCTGTCTAGGAAGGAATAATCATTTCTAATTGTATTTGGACATCACTTCACTACATAAGCTACGGTACGGTACGAAGGAAAATCCAGATGGGGTAGTTTTAGGCGACTTGCACCCAGAAGGCCTTTGCACCCTTAACCAGGTTGACAGTCCAGCTCGTAGTAGTACGTCCAGGAACGTCCTTGCGCTATGCTTGACAGTATGAAACCGCTACTTTTAAGAACCATATTAGTCCATCGACCATCAGTATTCCGTTCCAGAGTCCCACAACCTGACCCTTCATTTTGCTAATCCACTGCACACTGAACATTTTCTTCGTTATCATCGACACGACCTTAAGCAGGAGAAGGAACGGGGTAAGTACTTAAGATCTAACTAGGTGTCAAATCTCTTGTCAAGTCATCTGATTGGTTTTTGATAATTCAGTCAACCAATCAGATGACTTGACGAGAGATTCATCTAGTTTTTCACATATAATTTGACGTGTAAAAGTGCCGTTTTATGGGCTATTTGCAAAAATAAATTCATTGTTTCATTGTTTCATTGATTAAATTGATTTTAACATTGATCGGCCTTTCGGAAACCGGGTGTAAGTAAGAAGAAGTCATTTAATGAATTCCCCGCCATACAAAAATGTCCTTCCAGTTCCAATAGTAAGCACACAACCTGATCCTCAGTTTTATCCAGCATTATCATCTTATATTATTCTCTCTAAAAGCTAAAGTTTATTTTGATCCACTTGGTCTGCAGTTGGCAAAAGACCTGTCCTATATCACTGATCTCGATTATTTGCTGCGATTCGCAATGGCTACTTAAAAGTAATCTTAAGTTTGGTAATTGCCCTAAAAATCATTGCAATAAACACAAAAAAATATTATCTTTGATATCATTATATTAAATAATCTCTTTATATGCTATATTGATATCTTGGAGTATTTTAAAATGTTAATACATGCGTATGTCAAGTTTCTAGGTCATCGGGAAGTAAGTTAGGCAACGGAAATAATTTTGCCTCGGTGAAATTTTCAAATATAATTATTATTTTTATAATATATATAAAAGAAAGTCGTGTTAGTTACACCACTTATAACGCAAGAACGGCTGAACCGATTTAGCTGAAAACTTTCAGGGAGGTAGTTTAGAGCCAGGAGAAGGACATAGGATAGGATAGAGTAGGTAGAGTAGGTTAGGTACAGTGGGGTAGGTAGAGTAGGGTAGGTAGAGTAGGGTAGGTAGAGTAGTGTAGGTAGAGTAGGGTATGTAGAATAGGGTAGGTAGAATAGGGTAGGTAGAGTAGGGTAGGAAGAGTAGGGTAGGTAGAGTAGGGTAGGTAAAGTAGGGTAGGTAGGGTAAGTAGAGTAGGGTAGGTAGTCAAATGACGAGAGCGACGCCGCGGGTAAGAGCTAGTTTTTATATATTTTTATGATTGAATTTGTATGTCTTTACTAATCACGGGACCACAGGGTCCCGGTCATTTGAAAGGCGTACGAGGGGCCGGAGCCAACTGCGCAGAGGCCCTTTAGATAACTTTAATCTAAATGAAATGGGACACAAACCGGCGACTATACCTGTATGCACTATGGAAATGCACCCAAAGACAGACTCTGGTTAGTGTAGGACTATTGCGGATAATGGAAACAAGGGATAAGACTATGGGTGTGGGTTGTTATGGACTGGTATGATGGGAACTATGGAAGGACTATGGCACCTGCCGAAACAATGTAATAAATACACGTAAAAATGGCAGGTGGAGACTCGCCAACTCACCGACCGGACCCCCGGGAATGGTTGCTAGTAATAGCAACAGAGGGACAACGGAAATGTGAGTGGCTGAAGGGTGAAGAAACTGCCACCAGCTTTCTACTCAGATCATCTGCATCTGCCTAAGCATCCTGCATCACTGGCCCACTCGCCGCTTACGAACAGCTTCCACCCCCCGAGCAGGATCACTACTCTCGCGACTCCACTCTGGACGGCCAATGAAGGCAAGCCAGAGGTGGGAGACCTGTTCCTTGTCATCGTTCACTCCGGCCAGCCAATGAAGGCAAGCCTGAGATGAGGAACGGTGACTTCTCCCTGGAGCAATCGGGATAATGGTAGCCCGCGGGATCGCTAATTCCCGTCACCTCGCCTCAAGGTGCCCTGCGGACTGATTGAATTAATTATTATAAAAAATGCCTACAATTAAAATTATATGTTATTTTCCCAGTGGAGGTACGGAACTCTAAATATATAATACATATTGAAGTAGGTATATAATATTATAATTATGATATTATATTGACAATAATAAAAACAGATGGATTCTTTGATATTCTGCATACGGCTATCAGAGACGGATGTCGTCGGAGGCCAAATCCGTGTTAGCCATGCTATCCGTACTTCTACTTTTATTTTGCGCCGTTGTCAGCGTCCTGTCAAGTCCAGGTGAGTTATATTGCTTTAAATAAGTATAAAAACAAATATAATTATATTTGAATATTGAATAATTAGCTAAAATTGTCATTTCCAGAAGTCTCAGTAAGTAATTAAATGAATTGACTACCTAAGCAAATCTCATCGTTCATCATTCCATAGATGCCATATTTGCTGTCCATAAAAATATATAGTATATACTTATTAGGTATACCAAATTGTTATCTCCGTCCAACCATTTTAGGTAGACCAATCTCATTCGAAAAAGTTTCCTCAGTCATAAATAACTTCGACTTTTAAACGCAATGAAATATAAAAAATACAATAAACAAAATTATTGATTTATTGATCCAAAATTGAATTATTATATTTTCTACCAATACGTACATTATAAAAGGAGGTTATATACATTTTACAAAATTCAAAGAAATTAAATTACGTAGTGTTTTTTTTTATTTTACTTCTAACCTATCGACGATCTTAATAATAAAATGGTAATTGGCCATACATACATACATACATACGTATACGAGTACTATACTCGTATACCTATGTATGGAAAATTCTATACACGCTTAATAAATAAACTTAAACATAAAATAAAAATCAATATCACTGACATTTAATTTTAATTTCTTTTTATTTTTGTCAGTGAGGTCGTGGTCAATAAAAATAGTCTTTCTAGTTCGTGATTTTCTTTTTTTTCATATTCCTTTTATGTTTGTTATTTAAATGCGAATAAAAATGAGCTTTCAGTACACTTTTGAATACTACAATTACGATTATGTAGATGCTCGTACAATTCTGAGAAAAATACTGAGAAAAGCTCTACTAGTTTCGAACCATAGAGGTGTTCTTCCTCATGAGCAGCGTGCGCGGACGCGGCGACGTCGCGCAGCCTACTCAGTGGTTCGAAACTAGTAGAGCTTTTCTCAGTATTTACACGTGAGTAACCCGCGATTTTTAGTTAATTTAGTATGTCTCACGATAGTTATTATAAAAACATATTTAATCATATCCAAAAATATAGCAGATAATTTTTGTGAGGTAGTTGAATTAAAATAGAATGTCGCATAAATTAATTACAGATCGTATATTATATTATTCCTAATTTGACGACATTGAATTCTAAAGCCATTTTTATTAATTGTTGCTACTATTTGTAGTATCTTAGCTCCTGCCAGCCCGATAGTACGAGTATACGGTTACCATTTTGTTGATATATTAGATTACTAAATATCACAACACCTTCAACCAAGGTTTTTTTTTACTGTGGAAGGAAATTCATTAAGTCACTTCTACCAAACTGGGTGGGGCGAGAAGATCAACTAAATACTTTAACTGCTCTGGACCGGGGTTGCAGTATATAATTGCACTTGTGCAGGCAAACCCGCCCTTGCATCCTCCCTAAGAGGCTTTTTTTTGAGGGGAAAATCATCAAATGATTTCTTCCGGGCGGGAGGGAGTGTCAGACTCTTACTGACTAAAAACCCCCTGTTCCTTCTCTTGCTCTGGGCCGAGGTCACGGTGCCTCATTGCGCTTACCCCGTAACCTCGGCTCTCCCTAAGAGGCTGGAGCAAACACATTGCCAATTATTAGACAAAAAGCTTTACCTTATTCCTAGTACTTAGTACTAGCTTTTGCTTACCAGCTCGCGTGGAATAGTGACTTATGTCCTTTCTCGAGTTCTAAACTATGTCTGCACCAAATTTCACACAAATAGGTTCAGTAGTTTAGGCGTGAAGAAAAGACAGATAGACAGACAGAGTTACTTTCGCATTTATAATATTAGTTTGTATTATTTTGGATTTTATTATTTTCCAGCTATAAGCCTGACCCAATGTAAGACGGACGATGACGTTTGCACTACCAAAGCAGTGAATTTGGCGTACCCATTAATCCTGGAAGCCAATCCAGAAATCGGAGCTGAATCCATAGATCCCTTATTTCAACCAGAAATTGAGGGAAATCTCTCCATTTTGAAGTTTAAGCTTTTCAATACAACAGTGACGGGATTCAAAACATGCAATGTTGAGAATGCTAAGTAAGTATTTTTTATATCTTTTGTAAGACATAGTTATAAGTAATAAAAAATAATTCGTCATTAATATAAGAATTTATCTGGAAGGATAGGATACAAAAAGGCTGGCCGAAACTACAAAGATCGCTCAAAATAAAGTACAATTTCATTTTTGAAAAAAAAAAAGTAGTATATGAGATAGTCCTGCTTAAACAATCTTAATAATATGTCATTGTTAAAAATTAAAAAATAATACGTTTTGTGTCATATTATTTTAATACCTGTGTAAAAAATGTCTGATGGCACAAAAATAACAAAATAAATATGTATGTGCAAAGCCTGGCCAGAAAGAATCCTGACTCCAATTTTTCCCAGTTTTTAATATCTTTCTTTATCTATATTCCAGATACAACGATGAGCAACAAACTTTACGGATTGACGTTGTGTGCGGCGCATTTACTTTGAGCGGCACTTATGACATCAACGGCCAACTTATCGTACTGCCGGTTCAAGGAAATGGAGATTATGTTCTTACAACAAGTAAGTTGATTTTCAATAAACTATGACTTAAAGTAAAAACTATGATTAGAAGGTATATAGGTTAGTAAAAACTATTTTGGGTCATACACTTACACAATGTAACACCCATTTTACATCACTGACATATTTCTATACACTGCGCACTACAACTACAACCTCCGGTGATACAATGAATCTTCGAAAACCAAAATAATATACAAAATAAAATTCTTATTTATTAATATTATTTTATGTCAATATTAAATACATTTTACAATTAAATATTTCATACTAAGTGTCGATTCACGTCTGACCAAAGATTCACGTCGCAAATTCACAATCTCCTAACGTCAAAACATACTTAAACGAGTAAAGGCAATAAAACGTTCAACCTCTTTTTATGGATTGCTTGGTTATCATCAGCGTTATGGATATAAATACGCGCCATACCAGAGAAATTACAAGTGTGTTGCTGGCTTTTTAGGGTGAGAGATACAAGGATTTGGAAATCAGAAATGGGGGGAGGGGGAATTGATACTTAGCACACGAACGCATCATCGGCTACATGGTCCATTGTTATGACCATCGTTACGCAACGCACCTTTTGCAGATCGATGCTTTTGAAGTTAATAATATATAAACCGTTAACCAAAACTTACACATGTTTATATATTTTTACAGAAAAATACCGTCTGATCATTGACGTGGAGCTGAAAACAGTTACCGGAAAAGATGGTAAGAACTACAGAGCTGTTAAGAACTTCAAAGTGGAAGCAGATCCTTTGGAACCTGTGAACTATGATTTTAGGAATCTATTCAACGGACAGAAAGATCTAGGTAAGATAAATATAAAATTGTACTAATTTAGCTGATCATAATCTTTTTTTATATATATCATCAGAAGCAATGAAATAAAAAAAATGTAAGCCTTTATTGCTAGTTGCAATTTGCTTGTAAATGATCTTCTATGACTACTTAGTATGCCTTACATATTGTTTTAAACCAACCACGTTCTTTCTCGTACACCAAAACTTATTTGCGCCAGCAACCTTGGCTGGCCTTTGCTAGGTCAGTTGTCTACCTAGTCACCTCTATAGATAAAACCGTTGAACACTGTTTCCAGACAATACTATAAAATAATGTCAAGCTAATACCATAAAATACAACTACGCAATCCTCTTAAAATGCTATAAGGAATGTTATCTATTAACCCATACCAAGACAGTACATTTTCCCGATCTCTCAATCAATTCAGACAAAATAATTTTCACATCGAAGTTCGAATTTGTCTCCATCTTGAAGGACGATCACAATATTACAATTGAACTTTGAAATTGAGATTCGATCTATCAAATCTCGTTAGTGTCTTCGAATTTTACGATACCGTTAACCCTTTCTCGGTCCAGTGCTTACAGAGAGTTCACAACAGTCATCTGACTTAATGTGTCTGCTTCAAGAGCAGTTACAATCGAAGGGTTGATTTATTTTACGACTGTAACGTTATAGATTCTGTCTATTCCATTTCCAATATTACACAAAGTTGCTTCGTTTAGATCAAATTGTTTTACGCTATATTTGAAATGGCATTCAAAATATTGTTTTATAGTTTACTAGCGACCGGCCCCGATTTCGCGCAAGTGCAAAGCTGATACTGGCTTATTGCTTTGTTATCATACTCATAAACCTTCATTTTTATTCACTCAAAAACAAGTGAAATTCATACATAGTACGCTTAAATCTTTAAAACTACGCATACGCGCTACGGGTATAGAGACGGAGAAAGCGACTTTGTTTAATACTAAGTAGTAATGATAACATGTTAACGTCGGTTAAGGATTGTACACAATTATATTATAAAACTGGTAATGAAAGAAATGATAAATATTTTATTATCTTTTATACACTACATTTCTATGGCAAACTTGTAACTTCTATTTTTAAAATGAATAAAAAGTAGAAATGAATGTAATTAAATTTATTATATAGGTAGGGCTAGTCTAGCCCTGGTTGCACGTGCAAGCGAAATAATGAACCACGGCCCTAGCCTGGAGAAGGAAAAGGAACGGAGTGGTTATTAGTTATTAAGAGTCTGGCACTCCTTCTCGCCCCATCCAGGGCGAATATAGTCATTTAAGGATTACCCAGCCTTGAAAAAAAAACATGTCAAACTGAACGCTTTGAAACTTGAAAAACATTGTACAGCCTTTTTACTTCTGAATAAACTCTTTCCATTTATGTATGTAATTTTCACTTAAGTTCTTATATCAATATATTCTTGAATATGTTACTAAAATTAAAATTACATATAATAATCAACGAATGTTTCGTCGACCTTAACCTATTTAATAAAATCTAAAAAGATAGCTGGATATTTGCTAAGTAAAATAATTTCTTTTTTTTTTCTAAACTGTACCTACAGTTTGCGCGCGAGCCGGTTTCATAGTAGAAAGATAAGTGTCTCCTCCACCTAATTTTGTTTAATTTTTGCTTTCAGCCGATACAGTTCTGAAGTTCGCAAATGAGAACTGGAGAGAAGTCGCTCATGAAGTGCAGAATCCAGTGTTTGTAGCAAATATAAAGAAAATGGTGAAAAACGCTAACAAGTATTTGAAAACTCTACCAATTGAAGACTACGTACCACAGTAATAATATAATTTTATAAATTTGTTGGAAAGATGGGTAAAACAACTTATGGCACAATGACCAAAGGACATGCATAAATTTATAATATATTACGTAAAATACAAAAATTCAATAACAAAATAGAATTTAATAAGAAATAAATAAGACTTTATTGTTGTTTAATTTTCTTTCGTTTCGAATATTTCATTCTTATTATTAAAAAAATATTGCAATAAGTGCTAGGGAATTCTCAATAGATGTCACTAGTCTAGCAAGAATAGTTAATTTCATCAATGTAGCTGTTAAAAATTTGACATCCAAAAGTATTCTATTAGTTTATTCTGAACTTTGAAAATATTGCTAATGGATGAAATGACAAGATACACCCTAGTTGTGTAAGAGACATACTCGTACTTCGGCAAAAGACATGAAGCAAATAACCGAACGCATGCGGTATGAATAGGTATAACATTATAGAAAAATAATTTATTTATTGATTAATTAGAGGAGGAAAAAGCCAGGCAAATTGATGATAAAAATTACAGTTTTCGAAGGCCTTACTGAACCCAAAATGCAAAAATCAAAGATGTCTGTTACAAATTTATGTATCAATTCTTTGTCATGAGTTTTTTTGTTATGGTTTTGTAGTGTCTTGAAGGTAGTTTGATCAAAATTATTGAAAAGTGTGATAGTTGCATAAACCGGGGTTAATCTGCTCAAAAGGGTCAAGAGGGTAAAAGATCTCCATATTCAGGTGGCCCGCACTATGGCCTACCGCCTGAGTCTAGTGCAGCAACTCATAGATGATAATTATAAGAAAAGCCTGTTCCAAACTAATACATTCTAACAACCAATGTTTATATAGTTTCTTTTTTAATTGAAATAACTTAGTGCTTGATTTCCTTTTTATAAAATCTACATAGTTTTATTACACAATTGCAGCAAGAGGAGTTACCATCGGCGTCGAGTCGGCGATGAAGTACCTGGGTCTCGTCCTCGACAGTCGATGGAACTTCACAGAGCATTTTCGTCGTTTGGCCCCTAAGTTGGAACGGTCTGAGGCCGCGCTCAAGCGGCTCCTTCCCAACCTCGGGGGGCCAAACGCCTCCTGCCGGAGGTTGTATATGGGGATTGTGCGATCCATGGCCCTCTACGGTGCCCCTGTGTGGGCGCCGGACTTGAAGCGGCGGCCGGCACGTACGCTGGTCGCGTCCCAGAGGGTCATGGCCATCCGAATAATCCGCGGATATCGCACGATCTCCGGGGAGGCGGCGAACCTCCTTGCCGGATCACCGCCGTGGGATCTAGAAGCGAAGGCGCTTGCGCGCGTCTACAGTTTGCGCGCAGACGCGCGTCGCCGGTGCGAAGATCCTCTGCCGCGCCAAATTAGTACGTGGCGGAATGAGCTCCGGCGAGATCTCATGGCTGAGTGGAAGCAGCGACTGTCGCAACCGAGGGCCGGGCACGCTACTATAGCAGCGGTAAGACCCCTCTTTGAGGAGTGGCTTGAGAGCCGCCACGGCGTCCTCACCTTCCGTCTGACGCAGGTGCTTACCGGGCAAGGCAGCTTCGGTAGGTTCCTGTTTCGGATCCAGCGGGAGGAAATGCCCGAGTGTCGTCATTGTGAGGACCACCTAGAGGATACGGTGGAGCATACGGTAGCGGTATGCCCTGCCTGGGCTGAGCACCGCCGTATCCTCAGGGAAGTGATCGGCGGCGGCGACCTCTCGCGCCCGGCCTTAGTCGAGGCCATGGTGCGGAGTGAGAGGAACTGGGACGCCGTCTCCTCCTTTTGTGAAGCAGTCATGCTCGCAAAGAGAGAGGCGGCCCGCGTGAGGGAGCAATCCTCCTCCTCACGCCCCAGCAGCCGCAACTGGCGACACTACGGGCGTCGGGGATCAAGGGACGATCTCCGGCCACCGTAAGCACGGGCCTGCAGTCGGCGAGTAAGGGCAGCTCGCCGCCCGACCAGAACCAGGCCCGAGCGTACGGCGCGTAGCGTTCCGCGCGCGCCTCAAAGAGCCATTAGACCACCACAGATGGGGCCCTAAAGGGCTGATGTTCAGCCGGGGTTGCGGGGTAAGCGCAATGAGGCACCGCGACCTCGGCACAGAGCAGGAGAAGGAACAGGGGGGTTTTTAGTCAGTAAGAGTCTGACACTCCCTCCTGCCCGGCCCTGGGCGGGAGAAGCCATTTGATGATTTTCCCCTCACAAAAGAAAAAAAAAACATCATAATTGTTACTAATAAGTCGAATAATTTAATGATATCGATATATATTTGTTCCCTGAAATATCAGTTGTCATTTGGCTGTCATTTCATCGTCCAATCACAGCGAGCGAAGTTAAATTCCTCCCTACCGTTGTCTGGTGACATTGATTTCAAACATAAACGTACCGATGCTCACTCCACGGGTTGTTTCATATCATCATCAGCCTACAAGGAGAAGGTTTAAGCATTAATCACCACGCTTGCTCAAGGCGGATTGGCAAATTCAAACTTATAATTATAAATTATAAAGTCCAGGTTTCCTCGCGATGTTTTCCTTCACCGTTTGTCAGTGGTGTCTACATAATCTTGGAAAGTGCATATAACTTGGAAAAAGTCACATTGGTCGCCTTAACCTCAGGTTGTTTGCTTCGCTGTAATTGGTCAGGTCAGCTAGAATGATATCAAGGCATCACAGAAACCGGCGTGAAACAACCACAGCGTTGCGTTTTGCCGTATGACTGAGGATACTGGATTTCCAATTGTATCCCTCCCCTATGCCAATATTTGAATCCTCAAAACCCCTTATATCTAAAAACAAAAAAACTAGGGCCAACTGATGAACAAGAGAACGGTAGCCCCCGATACTTCACGAGTAATTTAACTTTGTCTAAGCTTTGCGACCTTCCTTTGCATTTAGACTATTCGACTATCACTAATGCAATTTTTGATTTTCTTCGTTTCTTTTTCGATTTTCTGTGTCGTGGATGTGTTTACAAACATAAAATTTCACAAACACACGGTTGTTCCGAAGCGAATCCGCGACACGTTGCGCGGCAGCCGGTTGCCCAGCCAACGCGCGACCCATGCGGTCAATGTCATGTCGATTGTTTAACATGAATGATGATCAAATACAGTTTCACCACTGTTAGCATTATTTTTTTAATGGATGTTATCTGAACCACTGACGGGTGGCTAATAATTGTGCAAAGTAGAAAATTATTGTGTAGATGTGATTAAAAAAGGCAAGTATTCAATTAAGAACCAGTTCTTAGTAAAAGACATTCAGTACAGAAAAAGCGTATCTATAAACAACAAAATAAGAAGGTAATTAATTCATTTTGTTGCATATAATATTTTATTATATGTATTTTTGTAGCTTACAACTTTAAAATGACCTTAACAATATACATATACATCTATTATTCTAAACTAATGCAATTAATATTAAAACACTAAATTTTTTGTACATGATACTTTTGTTAGATAGATGCAATAATAAAAAGCAGTCACACCTGTAGTTCTGCCTACATGAGCTATAATTATAATTAAAAATAATAAGTTAAGAAAAACGATACAAAAAACTGTGTCTCAAAAAACTGATCTACAACTGTAGCTAAGTGGTTCTGTCCCACTTAAAAAAAAGATTCGATAATAGTTAAAAAGAAAACCAGAATAATTCGTCAGACAATACTTTTTAATATATAACAGGACGATGGAATGGGCAAACGTATTTATTACCTGATGGTAAGCAATCAGCGCACCGCGTCCATAACATTAGAAGAGTTACGATCTTTTAGGGATACTAGTTTTGGAGATTTAGCCGTACGGTCGGGCGGTGTGGCTCGCCGTCCGCAGAGCTGCACTTACGGTGGCCTGAGATGATTGGTTGATCCCCAACGCCCGGAGTTTCACCTACTGCGGTGGCTGGAGCGTGAGGAAGATGAATTCCCTTACGCGCTTCGACTCCTCCTTTGCGATCATTAGTGCTTCACAGAAAGAGGGGACGGCTTCCCAGATACTCTCGGCAGTATGGCCGCAACTAAGGCCGGATGCGAGCAGTCGCCGCCGATCACTCCCCTGAGGAAACGGCGGTGCTAGCCCGGGCAGGGCACCGCCGTCCGTTACCGTATGCTCCACCGTGGCCTTCGGGTGGTTTCCTCCGATCGGAAACGAAACAGGAACCGACCGAAGCGCTCGCTATATGCCCTATAGTTTGACTTTGCCGGCAGATCAATATAATTAATCTTCTGACCGACGTTTTCAAGATAGTATCACTGATAAAACACATCTAAGCAATAATTAGTAGTGTAGGTGTGTCATGTACCAAGGCATTCAATTGTTTGTTTGGGACAGGACTGATTTTAAACAATCGGTACCGCTTCTGAACGGCAACTCCAGAGGAGATACAAGTGTGTTTCAGGGATTGGATATCCGATAAAGTCACTTACACAGTGAATAACCACGCAAGCGTAGTTTCACGCCGGTTTTCTGTAAACCGACGCCATTGGTAACATTTCAGTCAAGCCAACCCCTTTTTTATGTGATACGACCGCAAGCAAACCCACGGATTACCTGACGGTAAGCAATCACCACCGCCCATGAACACTTTGGGAGAGGGGAAGAATTGGGCTTCCGTTAACCTCACTCACACGACAAAATACAAGGCTGTGGTTGTTTCACGCCGGTATTCTTAGTTAGGCCGTTTTATCACTCAGGCCGAGCCGACCCATTCGTGCCAAAGCATGGCTCTCACACACTTGCCCATATTAATGCCCTGGGATTCGAATGCATTTTGACTTTGCAATAATTCATCGTACCTAAGTTCAAAAGAAGCATTTTACATAATATTTTGATAATTGATATTATTCGTTATTTTTCCCGCCAAATGCAATTAATTTTGCAACAAGCATGCGGAACAAGATACGCGGTCGACTTGACAAGGCTATTTTATTTCTTTTTTTTTTGTTGCTAATAACGTTAAATAACACTTAAATAATAATATATAATATACTGTAACGATGTTTAATTTATCTATAGTTTATTTATACTTCTTAACTTACTCTCGACCGCTGTTTTTCCTGTTTGTATTTGTCGTCTAATTTTTAATTCGTAGAAGATGTTCGTTTACCAAGAATTAGGTTATAAAATTGGAAAAATATTTGTTTGTACAAATTGCTCATGATGATGACGCAAAAGTTCCTAGCTATTGTTCGTTCCAGTTATTTTACTACACCCAAAATAATTTCTGAAGAGCTAGACACGCAACAAAATTAATACAAGTTTTAGAGAAAACTGGCAAGTCATTTGACTGCAAAAACCAAACTACGGTAAACGCAGTTGTGTGATCCGAAAAATTTAGAAAATTCCAAAAATTCAAACGAGAGGCACAAAAGAGACATAATATAGCGCGAGGAAACATTAAAAAATCAGCGTGTAAAGAAGTTTAAAGACACAAACAAACGCACATCGGTATTACTTGAATATACAACGTACAAAAAGAAAAATAATAACCATAACTGACCTTTATTTTTCTGCTTGATTACGTAAATTATGACAAAGTTTTTTTATTCGCAAACGCAGGCATTTTTTGTTAACATATTATTATCTAATAAATAACATTAAATAACAGATTATAAAAATAGCAACATTAAAACGAAACATCTAAGATTATAATGCGTTTTCTAAGTATCAGATTCGTATGACGAGGTTTAAGTATACCTTAGGGTTTATTTAAGGTTCTGTATTATTGTAATTTTTTAAGTGAAACAGTGGCATTCCAGCGTCCTATAGCCTAGTGGTAAGCAATGGCGCCGCCCATGTACTTCCAAGGAGTTGCAAGTAAGGTGTCGGTCTTTCAGAGATAAGGGATTTTGGGGCATTAGGGATTGGAAGAAATGGACAGGGGAACGATCGGGCCTCCGGTTATTTAACCGACACGGCGAAACTCACCACTGCAAGGCCGTTGTATCATTCCGGACGAGCCGGCCTATTGGTGCCGAAGCTTGAGATGTTTTTATATTCATCATCATCGTCATATCCATCACAGGACGTCCACTGCTAAACATATGCCTTTCCTCTGTGTACATATCGACCGGTCGGTAAGTATCCGCCCCGAAGCAGGAGAAGGAACTGGGTGATTTTTAGTCAGTTAAAGTTAGACACTCCCTTTCGAACACCCAACTCGGTAGAAATAATCTGATAGATGTCGAAAACGTCAAAAACAAAATTACAACCAGTCAAATTGACGTATACACCACAGCTAAGCAATAATGTGCAATAATTTGTGGTGGATCAAGAAATAAATAAATTATTACATAAGACGGTAGTATAGCTGTTGTCTACCGACAGTATTTTTTTTTTTCGTAAGAAAACTAAATCAATATTTTACGCTGGTGAAATTACAGGACAAAATTCGTGAAATAAAAATAATGATAGTTAACAATTCCAATCTCACATCTTGGTATGATTAATGATCAATTGACCATCGTTGCTCAAGGAGGATTGATTGATATAAATATATATGTTAACAATAATAGCATTGTATATGTATCAATTAGTACTGTCAATTACAAATGCACGTTGCACGTGCGAGAAATCTATACTATATATTATAAAGCTGAGTTTGTTTGTTTGAACGCGCTAATCTCAGGTACTAGTACATTTATTAAAGAAGGCTAGTATAGCTTATAAAATAACACGCTATGATGGAGCTGAGCGCCGGGTGAAACCGCGTGAGAGTAACTAGTGATAATATATATGTATGTACGACGACATCGCAAAGAACTTGTCAATTATTTTGCTTATTATTTTTTATGTGATAGGTCGGCAATCGTTCAGACGGATTACCTGATGGTAAGCAATCGGCGCCGCCCATAGGGACCTGTAACACTAGCAGAGTTAAGAGTGCATTGCCGACCTTTTGGGGATTAGGATTCGATATAATTTAGGGATTGGAGAAGGGAAATCCTTCCCTTATTGGGGCTTCCTGTACCCTCACTCACACGGCGAAACATAAACAAACATAACGCAACAAATATTAATAAAAATACTTTAAATAATAATAAATTGTGACATAAAATTTATGGGTCATATTCTTAATTATATATTATTTTACTGTTCCAAGAAACATGACTAGATAATTGACTCCCATATTTTTTTTTCATAAAAAATATTTTTGTCATCTATTTGAATTCCATCGGAACCCTTAAATTCGAATTGTAATTAAATATCACGCGCGTTAGACGCATATCCACAATTTTATTCTGCTAAAGAAATGACGGCGATAAAAACACTTAAAAAAAAATAGACACGTGACGGGCCGCAAGATATTTAACGATAATTCGTGTACATTGTTTTTATCGAGTTTTTTTCTTATAGAATTATAAACATATTTTTTATTAATATAATTAAGCCAGTTATAAAATCAAGATACCAGACGAACGAAGCTGCAGTTTAATTCAACATTAGTTTGAAATACGCCTTTACGTACGAACCTGATTTAGGTATATCTTTGTATATATAAAAGAGGACATTGCTTGATCAAGGAAAATAAGATTTTGATCCTATTGCGGTCAGTCGTGTCTTGAAGTAGGTCTAGTATAAATAAATTATAATGTACGGCAAAATTTGTATTTTATTATTTATATCGTGCATTTATTTCGCGATTGCGGATCCAGGTAATTATTTACATTTTTATAATTGTATTTAATATTATTCGTACTATTTTCATGGAATATATACTATAATTTACCTAATTTTAATAGAAATACATTCCTCACTATACTTTATTACTACTGTTTTAAAATATAAATGTTTTCATAAAATTATTTAAAATATTATTTAATTATTAGCAAAATTTATGCGACTAATTATGTTTATTTTGAATTTTCAGTGCCATTCATAACAAAATGTAAATGGGACGATACCAAATGTAATAAGGAATCGAGTCAGGCTGTCGTAGGAATATTTTCCGCTGGCCTACCAGAGTATAATGTAGAAAAATCAGATCCTCTTCAGATCGACTATGTAGACGCTAGTTCACCAAACATGAAACTGATTGTCACCGATGTTGTGGTTACTGGACTCAAGAACTGTGAGGTCAAGAAGATGCAGTAAGTATTTTTTTATTGCTAGAATCTTCACGAATATTAAACTTAACTATCAAACTAGCTAATGTCGCGCCTGTTCAATCGCTGCTCTGCTCCTATAGATCGTATAAATCGATAGCCTATAAGACTCAGGAACATTGTAGCTATCAATCAGTGAATTAATTTTTTTTTTTTTTTTTTAAATATTAGTATAAATTTACATATGTAATATTACCCATGTAGTTGATGATTTCAATCTTTAGGTAATCCAAAATAATTCACAGAATTTTTATTTTCGGGTTATTTCATATTTAATGTGGTAGGAAGTTATACCCATCTTATTGTCTATTCGACGAGGATGTTTTTATAGCATAACTGCGACTAATCCCGAGGCAGGGGTAATATCCCTCCAAAAGTTGTTTGTCAAGTACGAATTAATTCTTATTATTTTATAGATAATTTTTTATAGAGATTTATTTATATTTTTATACAATGTAACGAATTTGACACTATTTTGTGGGAGAGCCAAGCTTCGGCACGAATGGATCGGCTCGACCGAAGCCACGGCCTCACAGTAAACTCGCGTGAACAACCACAGCGTTGTGTTTCGCAGTGTGATTCAGGTTATCGAAGGCCCAATCACCCTTCCCCCCATCCGTTTCCAATCCTTAAATAACTGAAACCCTAAAATGACGCCAACGCACTCGTAACTCCTTTGGTGCAACACTATGGTGTCCATGGGCGACGCTGATTGCTTACGTAATCCGTCTTCTCGTTTGGCGATCTATTCCATAAAAAGCTATGGATATTTAACAAGTTAAAATCTCTTTAAAAACGACGAGCCAGACGTAAATTTTACCTACCTTCTGAGGCACGTCCAAAATAAAGTATAGGAAACCCTCCTTTGTCCGCATGCTCAACAAACTTTTAGAGGGAGTTAGGTCAGTACCAATATAAAAAACAAATGCTATTCATGCCTCAAAGTTTTGTTGCAGTTTTACGACAAACATACGCCAATAGACCATTCGTTGTGTATAAATCACCTCTATATTGTACTCAAAATATTTTAAAACAGGTTCTATTTGCGTCAATGTTAAAAAAAGCCTTAGATAAACCAACTGACCATAATCAGAACTCGACTCGAATTTATGGAATATTTCAAACCAGTTATGCGTGATATCAAAAAAAGGCAACAAAAAAGAAAGATCAAATAGGTACTTTTATATTCTTATTACCGGTTTTTTTATGGCAATCAGCCCCAAAATCTAATTAAATATTCTACTAGATACGTTTAGTTAGGTTGAGATAAAAAAGACAGACCCATATAATTTATCATTGGCTGAACAAAGGTCAAAATCCAAAATCAGACGAAAATACAAAATGACAACTCAAATATTTTAAACGACGCCGCGATGTTAACTTTTCCTGGACAGCATTTCCTTGAACTTCAGATGATTACAGATATACCTAAATGACTTTCCTGTGTTTCTATCTGTCTGTTTTTGTCTTCTCCGAGTCAGTTTAAATTATGATAAAGAATTAAACAAATACTTTTGGGTAATGTCGAAAATACAACCAATTTAATATGCATCATAAGAAAAATAAAATATTAGATTAACTTGACATTAATTATAAAATTATGAACAAAACTGAAATGCAATGTTGATATACAAATTCTTATAATGTAAGGAATCCTTAAACATCGGAAAATAGTATTTGGACCCGAGTGAATACTACAATTTACATTTGACATATTTCATCAAATGTCAATGTCAATCACTTTCATTATTTTTTTATATTATTTATAATATAGTATAAATTAGATTAATAGTATCTGGCTCACGCGGGTCGTAAATAAAGTAAAATAAACCAAGTGTACCATACTCTTTTTAAATCATCTGTAATTTAACAATTTAATATAAACCTTCTTGGTCTATTTCGAAGCATTAAAATATAATATAAATTATTGATTAAATAATATATTTTCTAAAATCTACTAGGAATAACCATGAAAAACATTGAATATTAAAATAAATAAGCTTCCCTAAAAATAAATTAATAAATCATAAGTAAAAAGAGGAAATATAATAGGATATTTTCAGTAATATGACTCGCTCTTTAAACCTTTCACGAGCAATAAACTGAAAGAATTTGAGTAAAAGGTTGTTGTTTTTAAATAATTTTATATGTTTTGACTTTAAGCAATTAGCACAATTAATATTATTTGTGCTTTTCTTTGAGGGCGGAGAATCATTAAGTGTCATCTCCAGCTCACCGAGGGAGATAACATTTGGAATTATCTGACTCTTACTAGTTTAAAACCTCAGAATACAGAACAAACTTAAAACCACCCATCCCTTTTCCTGCTTCGAGCATTCATTTATATATTTTTTTGCAAAATATCAAACCGTTTTCAATATAGAAAAAAAAAACAAGGAAGAACAAGATTTTGCCTCATGCATAAATATTTATTTAAAAAAATCTAAATAATCTAAACTAGTACCAGGAAGCTAATAAAAAAACAACTATAGACAGACGGATTTTGCATTTATTTTTTTGCCGATGATATTTCTAAGAATCAAACAAACAGGTCTTTATAATTACTGGTAATAATATGCTAACATTATGAAGATTTTCTACCATTATGTCTGAGTCCTAGACAGACCAATTATGTATATCGTTTGACATGTAGGCTACAAGCCATTATAGGTAATTGTGTAGCTCTCGTTAACTTTATTATTTAATGCATTTTCCTTCTGCGAAGTTAACCTTTCATCTGAGGCTGATAAATGAGCGTATAATCATTTTATATTATCAAGTAATTTATAGCGTTGTCGCTTAGAAAAAATAGACACCAGAAAATCTTTTAAACGTCTCAAGATTTTACAATTTGTTTGAAGAAAATTTTTGCTTTTTTTTCACGACCTTAATTGTTTAGTAGTATGAAAAAAAATTAAGGTTTTCTTGGCTAATTATCGTTGTTGGATGAAAAGAGCTGAACATCGAGTTCATTGTCGTGGAATTGGGGAGGCCCTTGTCCAGCAGAAATAAATGAAAATCCATCTAGATTTTTATTTATTTTAAAATTCGTTTTTGAAAAGTTGAACTTTGTAATAAGACGTCAGAGCTCATATTAGTCAGATACAAATTAATAATTCTATGACACAATATAACGAATCATCTCTTGTTGTTACCTCAAACACGTTTGGCAAGGCAGTTAAAAAAGAAATTCCAATAACTCTGATCTAAAAAAAATATATACCTATATGTATATAAAACTAACATATTTTTAACGTATAATCTGGATAATTAATTAGGTTGTTTTTCTGATTCCAAATTGAAAAATGAAGTAAAATATAAGTTTCCAGAAACATGTTCTTAACACGAAAAAATTTATAGGTAATCACAATATTATTTCTAATTATAAAAACAATCCCCTTAAATTTGAGTAATAAAACCTTTTCGCTGTGCATACCAAAACAAAAATAAAAACTCTTTCCATTTTTAAAATAATTCGAATAGTTATTTTTTTAAATCTCACTTTCGGCGGGAAATGGATCTAGAAAAGAAACCTACGGAAACTTAGTCACACCAGTCATATTTATTGTTGCCTAGGTCGAAACCACTTCTAGGTGATTTCAAGGCTTGTTTAACTAGATATATACTCGTACATCGATATCATTGCAAACGCATACCTATTCTACGTAACTAAGATGGTTCGATAGGTCAAGGCTTACAAGACACGTGTTGTTAATAAAATCCATTATACTTTTATAGGAATGGATTTAATTTTATGTGAGTTTTATATTGCATCTAATTGTTTCCAGCTCCCTAATCATAACAAACAACTTGACGTTTTTCCTTAACGTGTTAATAGATATTTATTGCAAATTGCATTTGAAAATTATTGCAGAATACCTAATTTTATTTATAGCTAAAGATGATCACATAATCTTTTTTCCTTTGCTTTGGATTAGTGTTATGAACTTTGCATATTTTCTAAGAGAAATCTTTTATTTTAAATCGATATTCACGATCTGATCGGGATTATCAGAAAAATAAACGTTCAACCAGTTTTTTTTTAATAAACTAATTGACTTACATTGTAAAAACAGATACTCTGTATTAAACATAGAGGCTATAAACTATTGCTCACTGTCAAAAAAGAATGAAAGATTGAAGATTCTCAGTGACTTTTTTAAAATGTTCTTATTTTAAATTCTTTCTGGCCTTGACTTTTAAACATAGTAGGCCAGGTTTATCTCATTGGCAACTACCCGAACAATAGTCAAACATCGCCAACAAAAAGATTTGTCACAAATATACGCAGTTTTCCACTAAGACGTTACTAGGTAATGGAGATCCCTTGAATTATCTGTAAATGCTAGCTGGTTACTAAGAAGGCTATTTGCTTGAATTATGAGACACGATAAGCTTAATAGTAACACCGAAAGAGTTCACTAGCCCATAACGACGGACGGTATGAGGACTTGAATAAAATTACAATAATATTATGGAAATGTCTTTATGTTTTATATACAACATATTTGTACTACTTTTTTATTTAACTGTTATTATGTACTTACTTGTTTTATGTATGATGATGGAACAATAGACACGTGGACGGAAACAAATTGTAAGATAACATCAGTACAAAAACGTCTGTTTCATTGGTCGAGTTTTCTGAAGGGACTGTCAAGCAAGAAGTTTTTGACTCGTGTACAGAATAAAAAAAATACTTTTAATTAAGTTTTTTTGAATTCGAGAGTGGACAAAGTAGGTTGTATTCTATTACAAGGACAAACAATAATTATACCTTTATTACGTTTACATCGTATTTTATACATCTACTGAAAAGTGTATGCTATTTTATTCTTGTTATATTCGAGATAACTCCTCAATGTGACAAACTAGGTAATCTTAATACTACATAATTTATATATAAATACATGTATATTTAGTGGGTTGTGTTTTGTTATACTTTTAAGTACATTACATTTGTGTATAACTTGTATAATATCCGAAATGTCCGACATATGCCACAAAGATTTTAATTTTTTGTAGATAATATTTTAAATTACTTTTAATGTTACCTCCTTGACCGCAAAAAGTATAATGTTAAATTATGTTTATTTCCATAATTACCTAATAACATAATATTTCTCACGCATGGTATAATTTAAAGACAACAAGTCCAATTAGTAATGATACGGCTTAAAGAACAACTTACAATATTATATGTCCGTGACTCAGACTCAGGGCATTGTCATTGTCGATGAAAAACATTGAAAAATTTAAGGTCTAAAACCCAGAACTCAAACTGGAGTTGCTAGATAGCAGCATCTCTAAATGCTAGCGGAACGGGTAAATAAATACAGTCTCAATAACGGAGACGCAGCGTTTTGTAGCGCGTCAAGCGTTCTGTCATACATTGATTACAATGTTCATAATGTTTGTTTCTGTACGGTCGATGACACGAACTGCACCTGTAATGTATGACATACGCCGTACAGGCAGCGTTTTTTTTGTGATAAGAAAATCATCAAATGACTTCTCCCGAGCCGGCCGGGAGGGAGTGTCAGGCTCTTACTGACTTAAAACCCCCTGTTCCTTCCGCAACCCCAGTTGAACATCAGCCCTATAGGGCCCCATCTGTGGTGGTCTATTGGCTCTTCGAGGCGCGCGCGGAACGCTACGTGCCGTACGCTCAGGATGCAGCGTGAGGTCCCGAGTTTGCGTAAACACGGGCTAAATGATGTGGACGTCCTTCTGATATACTTTTTTATGGCGTTGGTCAGTACCTAAACGAGCAGACGGATTAACTGGTGGTAAGCAATTGGCGCCGCGCGCTCGTAATACCAAAGAAGTTACTATAAGTGCGTTGCCGGCCTCTTGTGGCATATTAGGAATTTAAGGCCCAAATCTCCTAGGATTTGAGGATTAAGAATAGGGGGAAGGATTGGGCCTCCGGTAACCTAACTAACACTGGGAAACACGACGTTAGTGTTGCTTCAGGTCGGTATTCTGTGTGGCCGAGGTATCTTCGATCGAACCGACTATCAGTATCCGGCCGGTATTCTGTGCGGCCATGATGTCCTCGATCGAACCGACCTATCCGTACCAAAACATAGCTCTCCCACAGTGACTTTTAAAAACCTATGTCAAAATTTAATTCATGAGTATTCACTATTCACTTATTCAAACGTTTAATGCCGTCCGTCTAAAGGTGCATAAACTTTAGCATTCATTTCTAAAGAACATTCTTGCAAATGTTACCTACATTACAGAAATGTGACGAGAACTTTCCTGTGAGGATTTTTTTATCAAGCGTTCTGACAAGAATACCATAGAGCGTACTGGCGAGCGTTCTAGAGTAGGACAGTTAATTTGCTTCGAATTTTTTGAAACTTTGCAATATTTTGTTTTGCTCATGAAAATGTTTGTAGCAATGCTCTATGCTTTGCTCTGCTCATTGTTCAGTGAAGACGAAAATAAAATTTTAAAAATGGAATCTGTTTGAATTATTTATATGAGTAGCATAGCATTGGAATTCCTTGTTTCAGATCTATTTTTAAAACTATTTTCTTTTTTAGAACTTACGTAATAAAATAAATATATTATAATATTAATGTTTTATCTCTGTGACATTACAGGAGATTCGAAGACAGCTCAAAGTTGATCGTCAAAATCTTGTGCTCTACTGAATTAAAAGGAAAATACGACATGAAAGGACAGCTCTTTGTAATTCCTATTGAAGGCAAGGGTGACCTCTACGCCAATGTCCGTAAGTATATTTTGATTGTGTACTTTGACTTTAAGTAAGGTGTAACAGAAACAAAGTCGAGTTTAAGTCCATTTGTTGTTACCCAATACACTCAGCATATTATGTCGTGGTGGCCCATGTTATTGTGGCCGCTTCTCTAGCATAAGTTCGCGGGATCGAAACCTAACAAGTCCCAATGTGACTATTTCCGAGTTATATATAGTAAAATACTTTTTAAGATTATTTAGACACCACTGATATACGGTGAAGGAAAACATCGTGAGGAAACCTGGACTTATAATTTCTAATCATAAGTGTAATATAGCCAATGCGCCTTAAGCAAGCACGGTTATTAATGCTCATACCTTCTCCGTGTCAGAAGAAGCCTTTGTTCAGTGGATACTTAAAGGCTGATGATGTGAATATATTCAGCAATACATTTTAAGGGTTCCATTTTCAAGGTTAGGAATAGGAGTATCTTTTTACAACTCCGCTACCCATCCGTCCATTTGCGTGCCTGTCAACTTGCAAAACTGTGATGATGATGAAATTCTGTTGATGAAATTTAGATAGATGGCCCAATCCCTCCCCTTCCCCTATCCCTTCCCAATCCTTATATCCGCAAACCTTATCCCTAAAAGGCCGGAAACGCATTCGTAACTCCTTTGGTGTACCGGGTGTCCATGGGCGGCGCCGATTACTTACCATCAGGTAATCAGCCTGCTCGTTTGCCGACTTATACCATAAAAAAATGGTGTACTTCTATTGCTACAATAACAATCAATAATTAAAGTTAATGTTAAAGGGGTTGACAGTGTGATTTTAGTATGGAACCCTCCGACTCCTAATCTTTCTAGGGATAGCAACTGGCTGGCATGTCACAACAAATTATTAGAGAACCTTCTTAAACTGTGTTCATTTTTGACTCCACAATCTAAGACCGTAATAAAATTGAGATTTAGAGAGTAAATATTAACGCTAAAAGCAAAAACAATATATTTATTAAATTATTTCGATTAATTTAAAAATATAAACGTTACTTATTGTATAGCTATAAATTTCTTAGCGATACTCAGTTTTCTGCATTTCTTAAAAATATATCCTAGATCACTAAAACAACCTTAATCTAATTAATTATGTCCTTTGTAATTGTATGTAGCAAATAATGTTGATTAATTATAATTCGGTCAAAAACTAGACAATAGGGTTGAGGATATTTAAGCCATTTTAAAGATTTCAATAAAATTTTCATTTCGAATCTGTAAATTACAACGTTTAAATAAAAAAAAGTTTTCAACTTTATAATAGCGTACACAGTATATAAATGGTCAACTAATTGATTAAATTCATAAAATTTCAGCCAAGATCCAGATCAACGCGGAGGTAGATCTTAACATCAAGAAAGGCAAAGACGGCAAGGACCGTTGGTTGGTGAAGTCCTGGAGACACACTTTTGACCTGAAGGACAAATCCACTGTGAAATTCGAAAACTTGTTCCCTGACAATGAATTCTTGAGTAAGTATTATATATTTACTTATTTTGATATTAAGACGGATCTTCGCTCATGCATGAGGGTGCGTGTTCGAAACCTGACAGGTATAAATAACAAACGGTGAATCACACCACCATCTACGGGAAATTTCGTGAGGAAACCTGCACTTATATTTTCTAATTATAAGTTTGAATTCGCCAATCCGCCTTAAGCAAGCGTAGTGATTAATACTCGAACCTTCTTAGTGTGAGCAAAGGCCTTTACTCAACAGTCGACACTTATAGGCTGATGATGATGATGATGATAATGGGACGGATCTTCTACCGCTAAGCAATTGTTTCCTACTGCGTCTCCTACGGCTTAGCAATTAAAAAAAGACAAAAGTGGGGGTGCTGTGGGTGTCTATGGGCACCCACAGCACCCACAGTTTTGTCTGTATTGCTTTTGATAAAAAACATTGAACCTGAGTCTATATCCAAAATTGGTCAAAATAATACCTACTGAATTTTAAAACTTTTTGAACCTTTTGCCGACGAAAACTAAACGAATTATGTTATACTACTATACGTAATGAATAGTTTAATTCTAACAAAATAAATTTCGAGAGAACAGTTCAAAATACACTTAGTGTAAACGGTTCAGTAAAGGATTATTTTTACAGCGTACTCATTACATTTTTCTACTTTTCAGGAACATCTACCAACGAACTGATTGCTCAGAACGGTAACGACGTGATCATCGAGATCGGAGCTAATCTCATCAAAGCTTTAGTTGGTAAAGTTGTAGAAAACATCAAGAAATTCTTCCTCGCAGTACCAATTGAAGACCTATCGCTTTAAATTAAAATTGATTCCCAATCTTAGTACAAATGCACGTTATGATTTAATTTACAAACACTACACTCAAACACTAAAATAAATCTGATTGTTTTTATAAGATTTGTCCTTTTATTTCATACAATAATTGCTTTACAAATTGACTGCACGGTCGGTGCGGTGGCTGGGCGACTGGCAGCCGTGCAACGTATCGCGGGTTCGTTCCCGCACGGAACAACTCTTTGTGTGATCCACAAAATGTTGTTCCGGGTTTGGGTGTCATCTGTATGTGAAATTGTATGTTTGTAACCGCACCCACGACACAGGAGAATATCCTAGTGTGGGGGCAACATAGTTTTAACAAAAAAAAAAATTCCTGACTTAGTATTGTTATAAGCAGACCAATATTTTAAGCATCTAAGATTCTCAAACCCGCTTGGGCATCGACCCTACGGTGGGCACCATATATGGTGGCCTAAAAGCTATGAGGGCACGGGAGAGCAACGCGCCGACCCAGGGCAAAGGCACTTTTTGATACACAAAATTTCTAAAACTGTGATTTCCATTCCGCTTTCCGAGGTGACGACAAACTCTTTTGTGAATAGTAAATAAAAGAGTATGTACAACGATGGGCTCAACTGGTGAAAAAAAAGTAAAGACATGTGATTCTCTTGCCAAACCCTTCGGGGATAGAACGCTGTCATGAAACAATGAATTTATTTTTGCAAATAGGCCATAAAACGGCACTTTTACACGTCAATTTATATGTGAAAACTAGATGAAGCCGGCATTTTCTATCTGACTACTCTGAGAAGAAATGCCGAAACAAACTCAGAGGTCAGAGTATACATATAAATGTGTTTAATTGATGTAAACCTGTTGAAACATTGAAAATGCTTTTTATGCCTGTTATGGACAAAAAGTTTTGGAATCTCCTGTGTTAGGAAGAATTTCATAAAGACTTGCTCATTGTGATCCAGTTATAGTTTTGTTTAGATTTCACGATAAAATACTTTTACCAATATCTAAGAGTTTCCCTAGAGATTGTATTACTACATTGTTACATTACTACTACAAGAAGGAAACGAAACGTCGATCAGTGTTGATCGTTCCTTGTTAACTATATTAATATTTAATTATGTTTATTTTCTTATACGCGGCATTAAAATTAATAATAACATATTAAAAATGTGCTGCGGTAGGTATGGGTACGGTCTATACATACATAATTACTACATTACATGGATTACTTACAAATATATATTTTGATATTTTTATACGCTTATAAAGATTTTGAGAGATCCTACCACATAAAAAATATAGATTCGGGAGGTACGAGGCCGAAATGTACGGCGTGTTAAATTCCACGTGGCCCTCAATAAGCATCAGACACATACACAGAAACTACTAGGGCCACTAGAGTTTATGTCCAGGTGTGGTTACGAGGACAAGGACTCGGAGCAGGAGAAGGAATGGGGTGGATTTTAGCCACGAGAGACAGGCAGAGGCAATTTTTAGTTTCTATACAAACATAAAATCGTGCGTGACTGCTGGATTAAAAGTTTAATTTATTCGACAATGTACTTAAAGTTTTAGACCGTGATACACTTTACTTGCGAAGAGTGTTTAATATTTCCAATAATGCCTTGAATCGAAATTCGAAAGACCACTGATGGAAAGGATACTCTCAGCTCTCACTCTACGCAGAGCAGAAAAAGCATAACAAAGCATTGCATAATGCCAGGTGTAATTTTGATCGAGAGACGATCTCCGGCCACCGTAAGCGCGGATCTGCGGACGGCGAGCTACCCTTAGCTACTCGCAAGAACCAGACCGCGTGCGCCTCAAATAGTCAATAGACCACCACAGACGGGGCCCTACACAGGGCTGATGTTCAACCAGGGTTGTGGGGTAAGCACAATGAGGCACAGCGACCTCAGTCCAGAGCAAGAAAAGGAACGAGTGGCTTTTATTCAGTAGGAGTCTGAGACTCCCTCCCGCCCTCCCTTGGCGGCCTGGCCTGTAATTTGATAATATTAGAAAGCTAAAGAATTTGTTTGTTTCCTTGTGATCTCCGTAACTATTAATTCGAATTGAACCATTCATTCATATAGGCTATAAAATATCAGGCTACGATCAAAAGGAGCCGAGCAGCGGGTAAAACTGATGAAGCCTTCCTCGTTGACCGAATGGTTACAAACATAAATATCGAGCAAGAGGTCTCCGGGTCAACCTGCATCGGGCTTTGGGTTTGAAATAACTAAGTCATTTTTATTATTGTTAATGTGTTTGACACTGATGTCCATCATTACATGTAGTGACTTAAAAATAAATTAATGAGAAAATTCTACTTTAAGAACAATACTTGTAAAATTGTTTAGTTAATAAAACCTTACGGACCAATTAACTCTTCACTGTACCATGATGATGATGATGGATCATCATATCTGTCACAAGAAGTCCAGTACATAACATCGGCACACCTAATGACAAAGCGATCTTCAGTGGTTCCCAGAAATCTTACCTAGATTCCTTGATGTCCACCTTGTGGGTAGAGCTTGCGTCCTGCGCCAGTCCAGGCAGTCTGCCCAGAACGGAGATTGGCAAGCTATTACCATAAAGCTCGTAATGATCGGTGGGAAGCTATGCACACTGCCAGCGACAGAATAAGTAGGATCGTGCGAGAAAATGTTACACATAAGGGTCAGAAATGAGGATTACGATATACGTTAAATACGGAAGTTATACATATTTTTTTATGTGAAAGGACAGCGAACGAGCTCTCGGGTTATCTGATGGTAAGCAATCAGTGCCACACAGGGACCCTCGCAATACCAGAGGAGATACGAATGTATTGCCGATCTTTTGGGGAAAATACCCTACGGTTTATAGATTTAGCAGTTGAGGAGGAAAAGAAGATTATGGCCTCAGGTACTCACACAACGAAACACAACGCTGTGGTTGTTTCACGCCGTAAAGCCGTTTTCTGTGAAGCCGTGGACACTCCGGTCGAGACGACCCATTCGTGCCGAAGCATGGCTCTCTCACACTTGAATATGATGATAATAATGATGGATATCCTTTCTTTACTAAATAATTATTTGATAAATAATTTAATTATTTGATAATTATTTAGTAAAGGATTTCGTGATACTAAAATAACAAGCAATTGCCATACTATCTAGTAGTCTTTAAATAATATACCTAGTAACCTAATACATGGCAACTAACAGCTACAACAACTGCTGGATTTGTTAAAGTTTCGGCTACACATCAAACTATACAGAACCAGTTTTTCATTGTCTCGCAGTTAATAAACTTTCCATTGATTCAAGAGTCTATTTATACTGGATTTTAAAATTAGGATAAAATTTTAAATTTTATAATGGTTGAGAGAAGAAGGATGCCAAAGTTGAGTTTGAATTGCGTGGGCGTTTATTCCGTTATAGATTCTATGTATGTTCGATCATTCAGAAACATGAATTGGTTGTTTTTCAAGTGTGATAGTTACCTGTATAGTAGTGCTTATGCTAAAAATCTCTAGTGCAATGCATTATTAGGTATTACATTTTATTTCATTTCGTTATTTAATATTATTTCCAAATAAAGCCTTAAATAAAATCATATTTGGCTAACAAAAGACCAAACTTAAATGACTACATACCTATTTGTTTAACATGTTCTAATTTTTACCCAAACCAAAAATGACATTAACGCTTTTAATTTATTCAAAAAATAGAAAGATCTACCTACGAATTTAAATTTTCTGGAAACATCGACAAAAAACTAGTTCGATTAATACAAAATCACTATAAAGAGGATTGGTGTCAATGTTAGACATTCGAATCATATCAAGGTCACATTTTGAAAACCTAGAATACAATGATGATTTTACACTATCCTGCTAATTCAGCAGTCATACGTGCCTCTTTTATTCAAGGAAGCTGTGCTTCGGGCCGAATGGGTCGGCTCGACCGGAGTGATACCACGGCCTCACAGAAAACCGGCGTGAAATAACCACAGCGTTGTGTTTCACCGTGTGAGTCAGGTTACCGAAGGCCCAATCCATTCCCTCCCCCAATCCCTCCTCAATCCCTAAATCTCCAAATCCCTAATCCCTAAAAGGTCGGCAACGCACTCGTAACTACTCTGTTGCGAGTGTCCATAGGCGGCGCTGATTGCTCACCATCAGGTAATCCGTCTGCTCGTTTGCCGACCTATTACACAAAAAATCGGTTTCGATTGATAGCTTACAGTTCGTCCTACATTTGTTTTTATTGGAGAGGTCGGTAACCGAGGATTCCTATCACCTGTGTCAAGCAGGAAAAGGAACGAAATGGTTTTTAGTCAATAAGACTCTCCTCATTATCCAGGGCGAGACGAGCCATTTGATGATATTCCACCTTACAAAAGGCAGTTTTACCACGTTCGTTCGCTCGAAACGCTAAACGAGTTAAGTGTATTGCCAGATTATCAGGGCTTGGGGAATTGAGAATGCGGTGGAGGAAGGATTAGACTTACAATAACCATGCTCATAGGGGGAATAATCTCAAACTGTATTAGAATTTTTATATATTAGAACTAAGAACTTTCAAAATATTTATATTCTCCTGTAATGATACTTACTATTTTCGTTCTTTCGTAGATCATTGTGGCTTGTCTATACATGACATATTAATTTTGTGTCTGGTGATACATTTATGACGTTTGAGAGTTAATAAGCTGATGAAACTACCTGCAGTACAATAAATAAAAATTTGTTACTATAGTAGGGGAGCTCAGGATGCTAAATTTGTAGTTACTCAAGCGTAGAAAGAAAAAAATTCTCAATGACATTTCAATCCTCCGGTGGGGGAAGGGGGGAATGACAGTTTACCAAAATTGTGAGATGTAAGTTTTGTTTTAGTGCACGAGCGTGACAGATATTAATAATGTATATTCTCCATGTATCTCTGACAATGAAAATATTTTAATCTGCCGAATTGCGTGGTGGGGTTGGCTAACTAAGGGGATAGAAACGGGACCGTTCAAAACTCTATTGCTGTTGTAAACGACGATG